CTCCTCACTTTTGGTCAGCTGTGGGCTTTGCCTCTTGTTTCCTTCCCATTCTCTCCAATCCCATGAGGTCATGAAGATTGAATCTCAAACTTACCAAGTATAGCAACTGTGCTTAACTTAAACTCCCTTGAGGTACTGTATTTATTCATTTTGGTCTCAGTGTCTTTATTCTCATCAGCTCATTGAGCATTTAGTTGATCCCCTCCCCATTTTATTTAATATTTTTGGTTGTTTTTTCTGAGTGGGGCCAATAATGGTACCTAGGCCTCCCAGTGCTGGAGATGAAAGTCCTGAGCCTCCCTATCACACTGTGGTCACAGGGTTTTTATGCCAACAGTATTTAAAGTCACAATCATTTGATTGTTGGAGATTATACTTTTAACAACCCAGAAAGAAAGATTTGTTTAGGAATCAATAAACCACCTTTTTGAGGATAAAGATAACTGTAATGACTTTAATTTTTAAGTCCAGTTATAAAAGATAGAAAGCTAATTTCAGGAGGCCGGGTGTGGTGGCTCACGCTTGTAATCCCAGCACTTTGGGTGGTCAAGGCGGGCAGATCACTTGAGGTCAGGAGTTTGAGACCAGCCTGGCCAACATGATGAAACCCTGCCTGTACTAAAAATATAAAAAAATTAGCCGGGCATGTTGGCACACACCTGTAGTCCCAGGAACTTGGGAGGCTGAGACAAGAGAATCACTTGAACCTGGGAGGCAGAGGTCATGCCACCATATTCCAGCCTGGGTGACCGAGTGAGACTCATGTCTCAAAAAAAAAAAAAAAAAAGGAAGCCAACTTTAAGAAATCTTTCACATAAAGATATGAATGGAATTTTGGTATTTTGGGCTACAAAAAAAGGAAATGGAGGAAATAAGTAAACCAGTAAGGTTTACTTATTTGTTACTTTATCCTTTTAACAAAATTAGAATATTGACATTCAGAAAAAGCTAACAGTGCTACAGCAAGTGGTGAACTGCTTGGGAATATTTTCATTTTCCTTTTGTAAGTATATCATAATAGTTATTGATTTGTTAATTATTAGCAACTGGGGAGCATGAAATCTAGGTAACTCTGACAAAATACATGTTTTTAAGGGAGAGGCTTCATGAATCAGCTTTTTATTACAATAAGGGGATGAGCTAGAGTTATTTCTCCAGCCTCAGTTTTCTCCCAAGTTCCCTGAGGGACTGCGGAGTTTAGTCTACTTCTTTGGTTTCTGGGAGCCTAAATTCAGTGACAGTGAATGCATTATGTTTGTTTTCCTTGGTTTCTGGTAAGGTGATGGAAGAAATATTAGAATATTGTTTTCAGTTTATGTTGAAAAGTTATTTTCTGTGGTTGTGCATAAGCTAGCACCTCTGAAATGTCAATTTAAACATCTTACTGAAAATCAGAGGTTTTTATAGTAATTTAGATTTATGAGTATGAAAACAAAAATCGCTACATAAAAAGCTATTTGAGAATGCTCTTCGAGGTCATGTAGCCACTGTCATTCCAAAACTGAAGTTGATTTATTTTGGAAATCATTATTTAAAGTATACATTTCACTTTTAACTCCAATAACATTCAAAGGCACTTAGGGAAGGAATTTATCTATTGATGACTCTTTAGAAGGAGGGGAGAAAGCTGAAAATAAATTTTTCCTTCAGTTATGCTTTCATATGCAGCTATGGATTTAAAATAGGAGACTTGGGTTTATTATTACAACCTTTTGCTGTCAGTCGCCAAATTAATTGTCTCAGAACAAATCAATGTAAATCACAGTTGTAAATTTGGGGAGGAGGATATCAGATATCTGTATCATACCAGTGTACCATAACACACCGTAGGTGGTTTAAATACTTAGATGGGAAAAGTAAAAGGATTAGACTAAATTATGGTACATTTATATATTGTTAGGGTGGGAAGAGTGTTTCTGTGCCTGGCACCCAAGGCATGGAAACTGTGTGGCTAATGACAAACTTAAAAAAAAAAAAAAATCCCATTATATGTGATGAAGAGTTAATACTGTTAATAAAGAATTCCTGAAGTTGTAAGAAAATGAAACATTGTAATGAGTCAAAAACATAAGAAAAAACTAGTTTCATAGTCAAATAGATGCAAATTATAACCAAATGCTTTTAGAAATAGAAAACAAGTAAAGTTTTAAAAAGGTAGTAACGAGTGTTGGTCAAGATGATAGGAAATGGACTCCTCATATAATCATTGATAGCATTACGATTTAGAACAACTTTTCTGAGGGTAGTTTGGTGGAATGTATAAATTTGTTAAAATTTAGTATACCCTGTGATGTGACAGATCTATTTGTAGGAATTTATTCCAAAGAAATAATTGGATTTGTGTGCAAAGATGCACATTTAAGAATCTCTTATGCAGCTTTTTTAAAACAGTACATGGAAAACTGGAGATATGTTCAGAGTGAAGGTGGTTTAAATAATATATTGCTCTTTTCTACAATGGAATATTGTATGTGTAGGTAGTAAAAGTGATATTTTAAAGGATTTTTCAGTTCATTCATCAGTCAACAGATGTATATTGAACTTCCAACCCATGCCAGATGCTAATGTAAACAAGTCTCTGCCTTAATAAATTGGTGGAAATAAAAAACACAGCATACATAACTGAAAAAAGTAGATTACCAATCTGTATATATGTATGTACTTACATTTTATATGTATACTGAAATATTAGAATAATGTATATTAGAATATTGTAATTCTGGATGGAATGATTGTGTGCTATTTATTTTTATTTTTAAAAATTGTAAGTAAGAAAAATTTTTCTACATAAAGATGAGACGCCTGAGTAGGGAGAAAAGGTGGCTACAGTAGTTCCCTCTTATCTGTGAGGGACACATTCCAAGATCCCCAGTTGGATGCCTGAAACTGCAAATGGTACCAAACCTTATATACACTGTTTGTCCGTATACATGCATACCTACAATAAAGTTTAGCTCCTAAATTAGACACAGCAAGAGATTAGCAACAGTAACTATTAATAATAATAAAGTAGGACAATTAGAACAGTATGCCAGCATTATCGCTCTTGCACTTTGGGGCCATTGTTGAATCAAACAAGGGTAACTGGAAGATGAGCACTGTAATACTAGAAGACTCCATCTGATGGCTTAGATGGCCACCAAGTGACTGACGGGCAGGAATGTAGACAGTATAGGTACATTGGACCAAGGAATGATTCATCACTCAGACAGGACAGAGTGAGATGACACATAGTTTAGAACTTGTGAATTGTTTATTTTTAGAATTTTTCATTTAATATTTTTGGGCTGCGGTTGACAACAGTTAACTGAAACCTCAGAAAGCAAAACTGTGGGTAAGAAGGTACTGCTGTACCTGATTTCTTATGAAAAGAAAACAAGAGCTAACACTAACAACCACCTTGTGCCAGGTGTGTCTCCTCATCTGCTTCTTGTTAGAGCCTTTTGGGATAGTGATATTATGCCATTTTGCCTCTCAGAATATTAAATACCAAGTCTCTCAAAAGTTTTGCATGTCCAGAGTCACAGCTGGTAAATGATGGAGCAGGAGATATCTCAGGTCTGTCTGCTATCATGTCCCATTTCCTTTTTGCCAATCATCATGCCTTGGTTAAATAAATCTTTTGCATATTAAAAAAGCCTGATATAACTCTTGACAATTTCCTATATCTATTTATATTGACAAAATTATGTGAAAATTTTTCTAGTTAAACAATTACAGGTTTTGAGTTTAGGATAACAAAATTTTAGTACAAAGTGTTTGGTCAACTAGCAACTCTATATTGGCAGTATTTAGTAATTATTGAATTATGAAAGGGCAGTAGAATTAGATGGATCATAGAGATTAGTCCAAGACCTTAATATTCCAATACAGTCCTAGTATGTGATAACTCTTCTATTTTTTTATCTTTTTTTGGGAGACAGAGTCTTACTCTGTTGCCCAGGCTGGAGTGCAGTGGCGTGATCTCAGCTCACTGCAACCTCCACCTCCCAGGTTCAAGCAGTTCTCTGCCTCAGCCTCCTGAGTAGCTGGGATTACAGGCACCTGTCACCACACCCAGCTAATTTTTGTGTTTTTAGTAGAGATGGGGTTTCACCGTCTTGGCCAGGCTACTCTTGAACTCCTTACCTCATGATCCACCCGCCTCCACCTCCCAAAGTGCTGGGATTACAGGCATGACCCGCCATGCCCAGCCACTCTTATTTTTTACTAAGCGATTTGATAAATGTTTAAAATCATTTGGCCTTGATTCCTTTTTAAGAATTTTTATGTCAGCGCACATTTTAAAAAATCTGTCAGACCATGTACATTCATTTTTGGTTAGAGATAGTATCAGCAAATCCTATATTCTAATATTTTGGGTGGTTTTTTTTTTTTTTTTTTTTTGGGACGGAGTCTCGCTCTTGTTACCCAGGCTGGAGTGCAATGGCGCAATCTCGGCTCACCGCAACCTCCGCCTCCTGGGTTCAGGCAATTCTCCTGCCTCAGCCTCCTGAGTAGCTGGGATTACAGGCATGCGCCACCATGCCCAGCTAATTTTTTGTATTTTTAGTAGAGACGGGGTTTCACCGTGTTGACCAGGATGGTCTCGATCTCTTGACCTCGTGATCCACCCGCCTCGGCCTCCCAAAGTGCTGGGATTACAGGCTTGAGCCACCGCGCCCGGCTATTTTGGGTTTTTTTATAAGCAAGATGCAGAATATGTTTTACTCTTTATTTTCCTTGTTGTCTGTAAACTCTCCTACCTAACCAAAAATAAACAAGCATATGAATAAATGAAATCAAGATGACTATTATGATTCATTTGGGCTCTGTGAGATGGGAGATGAGTTGATCTTCTTCAGAAATTTGGAATTAGGAATAAATACCATTCTGATTTTTATGAATTATGATGACTTCATTATATAATGCTGTGACATTCTTATATATTAAATGAAACCTTTTGCATTTTGATGAAATCAAAATTTTCATAATTTTAAAACTCTGTTTTGAATATCCAGCTCACTGTTAATGAAGCAGCTGCTCAACTCTGTGTGAAGGATAATGCCCTGCTGACAAGAAGAGATGAGCTCTTTGCCTTGGCTAGGCAGATTTCTCGAGAAGTCACCTATAAATATACATACAGAACCACCAAGTAAGTGTTTGACCAACTGGCAGTATTTTCGCATTGCTTGATAGAATTAGAGTTTGAAACATCATTTGTTGATAGAATATAAGCTATAAGCATTTCTGAAAAAGCAGTATGATTATTGTTCTATGAAACTAAACAATGCAGTGACTCTTGAAAACATTGCTCAGGTGATTTTTGTTGTTTAATTCTCTTTCTTTTTTGAAAGGCATCATTCTCTAATTACTATAGCATTGGTTTGGTAGTGGTTTCAGATACTCTTCTCTCACACACTCTCTTTGGTTTTGAGTGTGATGAGGGGATTTAGTCAGACAGCATTTATAGATGTATTTGTACACCCCCTAACCACATGAACTTGTTGAACTCTGAGGAAACAGAGTGGTTCTTTTTGCAAACTGTTTGCAATCTGATGAGATTAGCTGGATATGTAAAATGTCTCTCTTGACTAGTATCTGCGGGAAAATTGAAAGACAATTCTATTTCTAGCAAATGGGTTATGGAACAAGAGTTTGAAATAAAAAATATGATGTTAAAAAGCAATGGTGGTTTCAAAATTTAACGTAAACACAGCATATTCTTCTTCACCTTATCCTTACTTGAGCCGTAAGCATTGTCTACAGGATAGGACCATTTGATTTTGTTCACTTGATTCCACACGGACCCTGATTTCCAGCCCACATTGTATTGTGCCTGCTTCTGCTTCTCTGAGTGGATGCAGATGACCACTGCATTAAAGTAACTAAGTTTTTGTTGGTAATTTCACATTCTGAGCACCCTCTCCAGCCCTAATAAATCACATTCTTTGGGGATGGAACCCTGGAATACGAACTTTCACAAGCATCCCAGAGCATTCTTGTGCATCAAGTTTGAAAACCAGCAATAGGCATTTGCCCTCATTATCATTATTTTTCCTAACTCACAACAGTTTCATTTCCTGCCCTATGTCAGTACCTACCTATTTACAACTGACAAGTAAAACCATGACTAAATGAATAGGGTAAGAATATGCAGCGACATTCTCTGGGATTATTTATAAGGTTTTTTTTTTTTGGAGTTAGATAATCAAGAGCTGATTTGCTGGTTTTTTATTTTCTTTGTTGTATTATACACCATTTTCTTTCTGATGAATAGGGTAAGAATATGCAGCGACATTCTCTGGGATTATTTATAAGGTGTTTTTTTTTTGGAGTTAGATAATCAAGAGCTGATTTGCTGGTTTTTTATTTTCTTTGTTGTATTATACACCATTTTCTTTCTGAGTACTTTATTTAAATAATTTTATTTAATCAAAGTGATGCATGTCCACTTCCATGATTTAAGAAGTCATGCAATACGTAAGGCTTATCATGAAATTCAGTGGTTCCTATGCTCTGCCTTCCCACTTCTCAGTTCCACATTCCAGAGTCAACTGCCTTAAATGATTTTTAACTGTTTCCTCTAGTCTTTACCTTCACCTTTCCTTTTAAAGTTAAATGTACTTTAAAATACATTAACACTTTTGCATAACTTAGAAGCCACCTCAGACTCCTAAGGCGCCCTCATTATTTTTTATGGCTGCATGGTATTGAATTGTGTAGATGTGCCGTAATTCATTTAGTCCCATTCCCTACTGATAGCTACTCGGGTTGTTTCTAGTCTTTTCTTATTATAAATAATACTACAATAAATAACATCATACATATTTTGTTGATTCTGAGATGTACATTTTCACATTTTAACATCTTTTATATTGAAGTATGACTTGTAGTTGATGACTTGTCATAGTTTAATTAATTTCATAGTGGTACATGAAATAATTATGTATTGGCGGAGCACCATTTTATATATGTGTAGGTACCTCTGGGATTGGTTTTCCCAGCAGAAAAATTGCTGGGTCGGGGTAAATAATCTGTAATTTCTGTAGATAGACAGAATGCATTTTAATCTCATGTAGCCAAAAATGTCCATCTTAAATGGTCATTTTAGTCATTTTATCCTAAATTATTCCTATTGAACCATAAAGGAATATCCTCCTTCTTGCTTTTTTCTTTTTCATTATGTGATGATTATTAAATATTTCTTGAGTGCTAGGCTGGGCACAGTGGCTCACGCCTGTAATCCCAGCACTTTGAGAGGCTGAGATGGGAGGATCCCTTGAGCCTAGGAGTTTGTGACTAGCCTGGGTAACATAGCAAGACCCTGTCTTAAAAAAAAAATTATTGAGTGCTTTTTCTGTGGGGAGTTCTGAGGTAGCGGGCTTTTAAAATTTATAATTGTATCTATATGTTCCCTAATGTAAACTTGGAAATGAGGAAGGAGCTTTTCTTCATTATTTTAATGTTCATTATGAGTATGTCACTTCTGGTGTTGGAGTTTCAGGGTATATATTTTGGCAGAAGGTTGTAGGCTGCGATGACTTTGGAATAAAATCAGTTATTTTCTCAAGTGTTTTTTTTTTTTTTTTCCTCTCCCGTTTCCCTTAGGTCAAAATGTGGAGAAAGAGATGAATTATCCCCGAAGAGAATTAAAGTGGAGGTATGGCCATATGTTACATTTTCTTATTCTGATAATGTTTGCTTTTGTTTTAAGATCAAGCAAAATCTTAACTAGTTCAGACAAAAAAAAAAGATGGTCCCATAAACTAGTGAAAATTGACTTTCAATAAATCTTTAAAAAATACAGAATTTTGTTACTTTCTAATACAATAGTTATGGTAATTTGAATTAGCAGACCAAGGAAAAATTTTAAATACTTTTTTCTTGTAGAGACATGGTCTCACTATGTTGGCCAGGCTGGTCTTGCACTCGAACTCTTGTGCCCAAGTGGTCCTCCCTCCTTGGCTTCCCAAAGGTCTGGGATTACAGGTATGAACCACCATGCCTGATCCAAGGAAATTCTTAGAAAACTATGGTGACTAGTCCAGTCAGTTTACCAAACACGAATTTGCAATTCATGTTTCTTATAGATTTAGGACACTTTACTGGTTAAACCATTCTTTTTATAGTCTTATTTACATCATTAGTCATCAAATACATTCAGAGGAGCTAACTTTGCATTTCTTTATATTAACTAAGGGAAATGATAATTTAGTAGCTATAAATTACAGAGACTTTACTGTAACTAAAGCCTCTTTTAGAGGTCACTGTTGAGGCTGCTTTTTATTTAAATTTGCAAGTTGTAAGTGGGAGTTAAGAAAAACATACTTTTCTTAGGACTCTCAGAACTATAGGATGGTTTCAGAACTATTGTTTCTTACGAATACTTTTTAAAAAGTCTAGCGTGCAGCAGAGTGGAAATCTGGTCAGGCAGCTCCACCCTTTCTTTCTTTTTTTTTAGGCAGGGGATGGAGGTCGATTTTCTCTTAGCCATCCTATTATTTAATTTCAAGTTAAAGCAAATAAGCTATGCTTGACCACCCTAAATTAATACATCATCAAATTATATTTATAGAGTATCTATTTGTATGGCAGTAATCCTTTATTCATGCCAAGGCCAGAGTTATCTTATAAAAACATAAATCCCTTTCTTTCTTAAATCTTTTCAGTGGCTTTCCACTGTACCTGGAATAAAATGTAAGCTTTCTTTTAAAGCTTCTTTAAGACTTCACATGATCAGATTGCAGCTTGCATCTCCTGTCCTGTCTGCTACCACCTCTCCATTCTTTCTGTGTTCCAGCCACACTGGCTGACTTTCTGTTCCTGGAACATGCCAAACTCATTTATGCCGCAGCACTCACTGTTTTCCCTCTACCTAGAGTTATATTTCTTTAGATGGCTTCAAGTCACAGCCGAGTTTCCTCTGACTTCCCTGCCTCCCTTTCTATAGGGGCACCCTTGCCCCAGAATCACACTCAGGTTATTCTCCTAGTTTGTTTTGTTTTCATAGCATTTGCCAGTATTTGAAACTATTAGATATTTGTTTTAAATCTATTATCAGTCTGCCCCATTAGATGAGAACAGGTCTCTTAACTGTGTATCTGCTGCTGTATAATTAGAGTTTATAACTGCCTTGCACCTAATAGGCACTTAATAAAATCTATAGGATGAAATAATGAATGGCTTCAGGTACGCATCTTTGCCTTACAAACACTTTATTCTAAAGTAGTGCTTCTCAAGAGAAATGTTTTTTCAGAAACAAAAAGCCACATTAAAAAAAAATTGTGGACTGGGTGTGGTGGCTTATGTCTATAATCCCAACACTTTAGGAGGCCAAGACAGCAGGATTGCTTGAGCTCTGGAGGTTGAGACCAGGGAACATGGGGAGACTGTCTCTATGAAAAAAAAAAGTGCTTGTATTTGTAACCTACCTCACTGTTAGCTCTGGAATAATGTTTAACATGCTTGACTCAGAAAATCTGTTGAAATTATCTAAAAGGCTACATTGAAAGATGGTCTAACTAGTGAGATGTTTTAGCTGTTGCTCCCCCAGATAACAGGTAACAGAGGATCCTTGTGGATTTGGCTGTTAGTGACTCACTGCCACTGAAAAGAAAGGCAGGTGAACATAGAAACTGCTAAGAAGGCATGTGCTACTGGAGGGCTGGAAGGAAAGAAAGCACAGAACCTACACAGGGCTGGGAAAAGTAGTCAACTGCTAGGCTAGAAATACATCCATGTCTGTTTTTCACCATTGGCCCTAAGTGTGATCATGATTCAAGCTGCTTACATTTAAGCCAAACTTGTCTATCTTCAGAGGTCACTGTTGCATATTGAAATTTGTGATCATGAATCTCATGGTCTGTTTGAGCTGCAGTTGTTTCTTGATGGGCTTTATTGGTAATTCTTTCTGACCCTCTCAGAGGCCTTGTATTTCATTACTGTGCTTTCAGTTTCTTATTAGAAGCTCAGATGTTGGGCTGTAACATTAGATGTGACTCTTCTGTTCCTTTAAATATATTCCACTAGAGATACTTGAATTATAGTTCTATATGGCTAGTTTATTGGTTTGCTGGAGTTCACAAAGCCACTTAAACAGCTCTGGATTCAGAATTAAGATAATTAGTATTTCTTTTTCCTGTGAATACTGTTCTAACCCTTCCTAAATAAGACAAGTGACAAGCAGCCCCAAGCTGCTTTAAATACTTTTGTAGACACTAGACTCTTGATTTTGTTTCTCAGAAATAAATAGTAACTATAGCTTTGAATTTAGGACAGTGGCTCACATTTTTGTTGGTTTGTTTGTTTTTAATTTTGTTTTTCTCTAGTGTTTTGTTTTTATACTTAAATTCTGGGGTACATATGCAGAACATGCAGGTTTGTTACATAGGTATGCATGTGCCATGGTGGTTTGCTGCACCCATCAACCCATCATCTACATTAGGTATTTCTCCTAATGCTATCCCTCCCCTAGCCCCCCACCTCCTGACAGGCCGTGTTGTGTGATGTTCCCCTCCCTGTGTCCATGTGTTCTCATTGTTCAGCTCCTGCTTATGAGTGAGAACATGCAGTGTTTGGTTTTCTGTTCTTGTGTTAGTTTGCTGAGAGTGATGGTTTACAGCTTCATCCATGTCCCTGCAAAGGACATGAACTCATGCTTTTTTATGGCTGCATAGTATTTCATGATGTATATGTGCCACATTTTCTTTATCCAGTCTATCATTGATGGGCATTTGGGTTGATTCCAAGTCTTTGCTATTGTGAACAGTGCTGCAGTAAACATATGTGTGCATGTATCTTTACAGTAGAATGATTTATAATCCTTTGGGTATATACCCAGTAATGGGATTGCTGGGTCAAATTGTATTTTGTGTTCTAGATCCTTGAGGAATCACCACACTGACTTCCATAATGATTGAACTAATTTATAATTTACACTCCCACCAACAGTGTAAAAGTGTTCGTATTTCTCCACATTCTCTACAGCATCTGTTGTTTCATGATTTTTTAAAGATTGCCGTTCTAACTGGCGTGAGATGGTATCTCATTGTGGTTTTGATTTGCATTTTTCTAATGACCAGTGATGATGAGCTTTTTTTCATGTGTTTGTTGACTGTATAAGTGTCGTCTTTTGAGACGTGTGTATTCATATTGTTCACCCACTTTTTGTTTTTCTTTTTCCTCTTTGCCCTCATGTGGAAACAGCAGCTGGGACTGTGGCAAGCACCACGGAGTGGAAGGGAGAGCAGGGGGAGAGAGAAGGCCTCATCTGTCTACATTTATACATAACCCTGGGGAAGACACAGAGACTTGCACTTGTGCTGTTCATGCCGCCGCTGCCTCTGGGCCTTCCCAGCACACACATGGTCTCTTCACCACTGCCCTCGAGTTCTGTGTCTCTTTCCCCTGCCTCCAATTGCTGTCTTGGCTGCTTTCCCATAGTTGGTTATTTTTTATTTGGGGCAGTGGGCATGTATGGGGAGGGGAGGGAGTTCTTCCCAGCCTCAGGTCCCAGCTTTTAGCATTGTTTATTCTGCATCCCCTTCAATAAAACAAGCCAGTTGGGCGTGGTTTAAAAAAAAAAAAAAAAACCTCTTTAGTTTATTAAAAAGCACTTGTGTATTGTAGATCATCAGTATCTCTCAACTTGTGTGTCTTGTGTGTATGGATACCTACACATGTAGATTGTGTAATTCTTTGCCAAATATATAGTATTGGTATGAATCCTTGTCTTTGCTATACTGTAAGTCAAATTTAAGATACCGGAACTATTTATGGAAGCTGATATGAGGTAGATAGTATTGGCTGTATAAAGTTACTACTCCCTTAAAACTTTTTACCAAGTACTAGTGCTTTATGTCTACCTTCTTTGTGGCTTCTGGCGAGGGACAACTTCTGGTATAGGAGGAGATTAGTGGAGACTATTGGGAAGGTGTAATTCGAGCTGGATTTTTAAAAGAAGGGTAGAATTTCAGAAGATAGGGATGTGGGGAGGGTATTGAGATAGCATTATAAAGGTAGACTAACATGGGCAAAGACAGATAAGAAAATACTAAGCATATTGAGAGAACAATAAGTTTGTCTAGGGAATGTGATTGACACAGAGAACCTCATGAATAAAACTACAAAGAATGTAGAATTATTTTAACATAATTTTTATTTCATTTGAGTATTTTTCTTATGATTCTCAGCTTATTAATTTCTGTGTAAAGAAAGTAATATATAAGGCTGGGCATGGTGGCTCATGGCTATAATCCCAACACTTTGGGAGGCCAAGGCAGGTGGATTGCTTGAGTCCAGGAGTTCAAGACCAGCTTGGGCAACATGGCAAAACCCCATCTTTACAAAAAATACAAAAATTAGCCAAGCATGGTGGTGTGCGCCTATAGTCCCAGCTACTCAGGAGGTTGAGGTGGGAGGATCACTTGAGCTAGGGAGGTTGAGCCGTTATTGTGCCGCTGCACTCTAGCCCCAGCAACAGAGCATGACCCTGTCTTAAGCAAAGAAACTAAAGTTTTAAGTGATTTACAAATAAGCTTAAGCTTAGCCCATTTTAAAGTGTAACTGGTTTTTAATTACAAGGCCCAAACTAATGAGACAAGTTTTTTATCTTATTTTAAAATCTTTAAGTGTTCTAAAATCTGTTATTGCTGGCTTTTT